CTTCAGCATGGAATAGAACATTCAATTTTGAGCTCTTACTATTGAACTTGAATAGCCTGCACATTCAAAAGAAAAAAAAAAAAGTTTTCTATAGAAACCCAATTTTTTAAAGTCCAGGAAGCATGCAGCTGGTTAATGTTAACAAAAGACCTTGACAGGAACATGTAAACTCTATTGAATGTCATGCTCGGGGCCTATCTGCCAGCAATATTGTAGAGTTGTTTCATTAAAAATGAATACTGTACACTGAATATGGGATAACTTTCTGCAGCCTTCATCGTTTCACACAGTACATAGATTTTACATCTCGGGAAAGAACATGTCCTGTGTCATACAGCTGAAGATGTTCCTGTGCAATCTCTTTTGTTGAGTCCTTATGAAGCTACAAGTCACAAATCCAAGATTCTGCTCCCTGAGGACGCGTTAGTGAGACATAGCACTGTTTTCGTTTTCTGCCTATCCTGAATGCTCTGTGAAACTTCACCTTAAATACCATCACGTAACAATCACAAAAAACGTTTGCTAAAGGCCATATATACTAATAAAAAGACAGTGGTGCTTTCTGACATTCTGAAATGCTCTGAAAAACCAACTTTCCCAATACTAAATACAACAAAATAACCTTCATAAAATATAACTTTTCTCCATTTACACTTTTTTAAAGGATTAGTACCCTATGCTTTTCAAGCACAGGAAATCTGTGAAATAACTCCTAATATGGACAGATTTTTTCTTTTTTTTTTTTTAATACATAACTTAAGAGGCTGGAGAGTTTTAACTCAAGTCCAGTCTCTAAACAAGGAATATTCTTGCTTACTTTAAAAATGGAAACAACATATAGTTCCATTATAATTGTTAAAAAGTTAGCTTTACAAACATGGGAATTTTAATTTAAAAAAAATTCTTAACAAAACTATACAGTGTACAAATTACTGTCTACAAGGTAGGCGGTTCATTAAGAAGACCTTTCGTTCTTCTCGCTACTTGCAGCTTCACAGATTCATTCACATATTTTTTTTAATGGAGCTGCCCACCCGAACATTACCCCATAACTATATTGCTATAATTAAGATTTTTGCCATGTCTTTATGTACAGTCTCCTTCACTGCCTTTTATTTATTTTTCTTAGACAAGCCTCAAACGCTCATGTCACTCCAGAGGAAACACTTCAGAGGCACTGCGAGTGGTGGGCTGCAAAGCAACGTAACAAAAGCTGAACAGTGCCGCGGGACTGGGGGCTGGAGACACGGCCCCCTACGGATGCCCTTGGGTGACCTTCACCATCCTGAAGCTCTGCAGTTCTGGGTAAGGGAGGGGCGTGCAAGACCTGCAAAAGTGGTGCCCTTGGTGAGAATATACTTCCTGGTAAAAGAGGAGGAGACCAAAAAATGGATTTGAGATATATATGTAGTGTTTTCAATAGTTTTATTTTAAAAGGAAAGGAGAAAAAAATTGATTAAAAAATAAAAAGCAACACTTGAACTAGGCCTTTGTATTCAAGAGGCAGGCAGGAATACCCACAGTGTGTAACGTATTTAGCTAGAACTGCTCACTCAACTGGTAAAAAAAAAAAAAAGAGAGAGCACATCTGCTCTTAAAAAATACTGCATGTCTTGTGAGGTTGATGTGTTCACCTAATAGGTTAAAGATACATGAAGAACTTGGCTGAGGTGATACAGGGCAAGTATCACAGAAATGGTTGGACTTACTTTTGAACTTGAGCTGCTTGGATCCTGCTGTGCTATTCAGCATCTGGGCTATCAAACTGAATGGGCTAATCAAAAACAATTCTCAGGCCTATAAGCATTGCTCCAAATTATTCATTATTAAATGATATGCTGTGAGGACAATGGACAGTTTACTTTATTAGGCCATGGCCTGAAGGAAGGGGTCATGGGGCTCCTCAAGACAGCCCACCATGTGTCACTAATTCTGAAAGATTTTCCTTCTAGTAATGAATCCTCTCAATGGGACTGGGGGTGGGGGGGAGCGGTGGCAAAATAAAACCAGTCTCCATTCACTCTCTATGCCTCAGAGGAAACTAAATCAAACATATATTTGAGGTACCATCCCTTAAAAAAATCCCATCAGCATCTAATGGGCTTAATTCATCCACAGGAACATTCATTTCTTAAAATTCTGTATTTCCCTTCTGCTGTAGTTCTCAGTTTCAAAGGGCAGATAAAAATGAAAACGTAACAAGATTTATTTTTTTGTTCCATAAAAATTGAACTTCGATTTTAATCTGTAAGTCCAAATACATTTAATAATAGCAACCCTCTGTTTAATCTTCTGGATGTATATAAAAGAAAATTCAAAGCGTACTGCCATCTATTTGAAGTAGTGAGTCACAGGTAAGTCATATGTTATCATTGATGAAATGAAGAAATGGGGAAAGGAAGTGGTGAGGGGGGGGGGGAATATGGGAGCATTCCTTCCAGCTGGGATGATGTGTTTTATAGAAGAAAGCGTACTTGTGTGTTAAACCCCCAAAGTGTGAAACATCCGCTATGAGAATATTTGAACAAATGTCTTTACCAAATATGAGACAGGCTCACTCTGAGACAGGTTCACTCTCCACTGTGGATCTGAAACTCTCAAGAAAAACTACCACCACCACCACAAAAAAAAAAAAAATTACAAAGAAAAAAATAAGACAGTTTGTTTTAAGCCAAGTCTGCCTCCAGGAGAATGTGTTGTGTTAACTTGTTCTTACTATTTTTGTTGTCATGAATACCAGAAATGAGTTCAGCTTGCACCCCAGGTGGGAAATTAGAGAAGGGGGAACCTGTGTAAGTTGAAGTTTGTCACAGTAGGCAGAACAGTCGCTTTGCAGCCCAGGCCCATCTCAGGGTGCACTGCTTCACAGCTACACTGTAAAGTGTTCAAAATCCTCCCACCCACCCCAGAATATATATATATGTATATTAAAAAAAAATCCCCTGTCCATCTCTCAGTACACAAAAGGACCTCATCACACTGCAAAAATAGCAGTACCCACTTTGGTCAATTAAAACAAACAAACAAAAAAAAGCATACATTATTTTTTTTTTTAAATCTGTGTACTTACCTATAATAACCAATACAGCTAAAAGCACTACCTACATAGGCAAAACTTGGTATTGCATAATTCGTATAAATTTGAAACCCCTCCCCCCAAATATTAATTGGAAGATGAAAAACATGAAAGGTTAATAGAAAAAACACCAAAATACTGAAAATATTGCTGGTCGATTACAATTTTTAAGCGGCAACTATACACAGCCATGATATGCTTTATAAATGTGAGATAAAGGTATAACTGTCTAAAAAATCCATGATGTCACACATTTTTCTTCGTCTGGAGTACAAAATATTTTGTCATAAAAATGGTAAAGATTTAAAATGATAATAAATGCAGCAAAACAAGTGTAGTGATGTCACTTTTTTGATTTTTTTTGTGGTTTTTTGTTTTTTTTTAGATTTCAAGGCAAGGCACGTAATGTGGACATTATATCTTCGTGCAAATTAGGATTACTGGAAAGAGTATTTTTAATTAAAATTTTAAGAGACATAGAGGCAAAATGTGTCTGCCCATGCACACTACAGATCTGTCAATACAAGAAATTTGTTGAACAAGGCTAATGTCTGAAAGCACCATGCAAGTTTTCAGCACCCTGATTACATTTGTTTTCTCAAGAGTGCGTTTTTATATCCTACACCCTGGCGTTCCCAGTTTGTAAACTGTAAGCTTTACCCCTGTGACATGGTTTTGCCTGCCTCTGTCTCTATAATGCAGATTTTATAGAACCTTTTGTATACCCTATGGGTTCTTGATGCAACCAGTAATTTTAAATAAATAAATTCTACCTCCAAGGAGGCTGCAGCTAAACCAACATAAGTGCTGTGTTTTCATTAATTTTTTTTTCCCTCAAGCACATGATTTGTCTTGATTTAATGCCTTTTTAAAGCCCTCAAAAACTGAGGGGAAAATAAATTCGTTCAAAATTATTTTAAATTCTTTTTTAATCCCCTCAATTTAGAGTCCAAGGGCTGAAGGACTTATAATCATGATTCCCCTTTAGATATAAATTTATAAATTGCACTTGCCTCTGTTAAGTGTTTCTTTTGTGGGGAAAATATTATATTAATTTTTACTGTTGCATGCAGAGATAACACTTCACCTACATAGAGGCATTTCTTCCATAGAGCCTTTGTGTTCAAACTGTTTTTTTTTTCCTTTTTTCCTTTTTACTTTTTTTTTCATTTTTTTCTTTTCTTTTTTTTTTTTTTTAAAGATTTCAAACTGGGTTACACACTGGAAAAGGCTGGGTTAAGGGCCAAAATTTAATAAATCTGTACTGATAACTAAAGGCTACAGAGATTTTATATATATATTTTTTTAACTTTTAGAAATCAGAGTGCTTATAAAATGGCTGGCTCATGGCTCTGTCACCCAGCACCTCTGATGCCGCCTCCTAGCCTTTGTTGGTGAAATAACCAGGAATAGTGATTCCATGCGTAAACAACAAGAATACTAAACCAATAAAACTAGCTTATCATGCAAATATTAAGGCATCTAGAAAGTCAGTTAAAATATATTGTCATAGAGACAGAACATCTATTTCCCAGCGGACTTCATTTAACAAAGGCTACGTTGCAGGGGCTGCGATCTACCATCAGTGAAATATCATCGACCCTTTTTATGTCATTACAGTTTCAACCTTAAGGGAATTAGTGATTGTAAGTGCTGCAATTGCTGGTCTATTATCTTCTTTCTTCAGGTTCTTTCCTTTCTCCCTTTTTGTTTGTTTTGTTTTGTCCAGTCTTCCTCTTTTCCTTTTTTTTTTTTTTTTTAATTTCTTAAACTATGGTTGTATTTCATTTTCCCTCAGTTGCTCGTTTCTGCTTGAAGGAAAGGTTCTCCAATTATGTTCAAACTGTAATTTTGGACATTTGCCGGTAGGATGGGTGTCCTATTTGATACTTGGAAAGGAACCAAGCTAGCCCAGGTACCAGGACTGTTGACAGCAGAGGGGCAGGAGGGAAGGAAAAGAAAAAGAAAAAAAATACAATGTTAAAATCTACAACAATATTAGAAATATAAATTCCATAGGCATTAAAATACTTTAAACTTTTTCAAAATTACAATTTAAAATGAGCTAATATGCTAAATTATAAATATTATATGTACATTTACTACATGGTCTATTTCTTTCACAGAAGGTAAGGCTAATTGTGAAGCAGAAAAACCTCTAATCGGGCTCAAACACAATTTTTGAAGTCTGATTGAGAATATTCTTCCCAAAATACTTGATTTCCTTTTCGATATATATACAACATGATTATCCTGTCCACAAAAAGAAAAAGCAGCAAATCTACAACTGTACCTATAATATAGTTTGCCAGTTATATTCTCATCTTGTTTTACTTTTAATTCACAAGCAATTCAGTGATAAGATGGGTTTGAATTTTTTTACCTGCCTATCAGTTGAATAAAACTGAAAGCCGTAATACAAGTTATTTCTTTTCCCTCACAATCAGAAAAAAATACATTTTTCAGAAAGGCCAGTAATTTGTAACATGTAATTTGGTATGCTGAAACTAGAAGCCTGGGTATTCCTGTCCCTTCCCATCAGTAACGTTACCACATCAGAGATGCTCTGAATTTGGGGAGTTTTGGGGAGTGAATAAGAGTGCTGGAGGGAGTAAGTAGTTGAGATTCCAGCCCCTCTCCAACCAACTTGAATTTCAACTATGTTGGATTTAGGGCTGTTTTAAAAACAAGTTTGAAAAACAGTTCTCTAATTGCTACTGGCATAAGCTCTCATTAAACAAGCATCATGTGTAGGTAAATTACACCAGATCTACATATCACAAAACAACGCCACACCATACATTTTGGGGTATAACTAATCAGATGTACTACTTGTTTCAACACTCAACTCAGAATAAGTGTCAGCTAAGTAACAGCTTCATAAATAATCATGAGCCAAGAAAACATCAAATTGACAATTCTATACCCAGTTTTGTCATGATCTGACAGGGAGACAAAATTTCAATGTTTTAAATTTCATTGAGTATCCCCTTCTTTACTTTAGCAATCATGAGGTGAGGGATACTATTATTGTAGCAATCAATCTAGACACCCTCATTTTTTCATATTTGAATTCCAAAGGTACTAAAACCTTTATGGAATAGTAACCTGAAGGAAAAATTTTGTCAAAAAAAAAGGAGAAAAGAAAAAGAAAACTTGAATTAAAAAAAAAAAAGAACTTGATATGTAACTTTTTTTTTACTCTATACAAAATGTGGCTTATTACTACCTGTCTAGATACATGTTTCTGAGTTAATATTTTAATTTAAAAAATTCACAATGACCTTTTATGCTCGAGGGATTTTTAAGATTAGACAATGAACTCCATGATAGCAAAGTCCACCTCTCTTTTTGCTGTCCATCTAATATAGTACCTAGCACATAGTAACTGTTCAATAAATTTTTAGATAAACAAATTAAGTGTTCCAAATCACACCCAACTATGTATTTTTTTTAAATGTTGCTCAAAATCATGTATTTTCAGAAATACATTGTGACTTGGCTCCTCTAAAAAGAAAACAGGCATCTCTGAACTTAAAACTAGAGATATTTAGCATTAGCAAAAATTAATTATGCAAGAAAAATTAAATAGCAATTCAAACAAGAAATAATTCAGACTAAAAGATATGTACTCCTTATCTAATGAAAAATCATAATTGTTAAGAATAGTTGTTATTGAAACCTTTTCTAAGAAACTTAATTGCTTTCACATATTTCTTTCTTCCCACACACATCTTCAACAATTATTTCTGTGCTTTGCACTATTGATCGGGAAGAATGTTACACGATGAATCATGGAACTTATTTTCCCCTTCAACTGTACTTCCACCACACTTTGTTACACAGTATTATTACAGCACTTATTACTTCATATCATGATTATCTGTATCTATGATTATCTTACTGACTGAAAGGTTAGCTCTGGAAAGAAAATGACCTTGTCCTCATAGTGTGGCCATAGCTGATGTTAATCATTATTTAACAAAAAAGATAAGTTACAAAAACAGATATCCATTATTTTTAACCTGAAGAAGTGTGTATAAAAAAACTAGCTCAAATTGATAATGCTTGACAGTAAACGACAATGTCAACAACAAACATATCACTTTGCAAAATCAACAAGCTTCCCAAAATAAATGAGCTCTAGAAAGTCATCTAGAGATTGCATACTTTAGGAAAATAAACTATATATCAAATGATTGAAAATAGATGTGAATCCTTAAATGGAGAAATCTATCTATTCACGGCAGAAAAGACACGAATTTGGGGTTTATTTTACAATAGCTTTCTTAACTTTTAAAAAGAGATTATATATTATTATTCTTTGGAAAATACTCAATAAAAATAAATTGATGTTACTGACTAACAGGACTCTTGCTGTAGAATATCTAACAAATTCAATTTAGATGTTTACTTAAACCTTTCAAACCTCCCATCTTACATTATGACCATGTCAAAATTGCAGTGTGCAATATATTTGTCAATACTGTTTATGAACCTTTGGGGGAAAATAAATCTCAAAGATTAACACTATGCAGACCCCATATATGAGTTTTACAAGTCTCTTATTGCCAATTTGTAGGTTAAGTTCAGAACTATAAGGCACAGACATTTTAAAGGGCTTTTTGATAGTCCCATTGAGAAAAAAATCTGATAAAATGAATTCAAAGATTATGACAACAATGCATAGAAAAATGTTCAATCAAACAAAATAACCTAGATCATTCAATTTCAAAAAGATAATACCTCAAATTGAGTAGTTTTTCAGGCAAAAATATAAGAATGCTTTTTTACATACCTAACTCTCTGTATTTAAATAAATGCCAATCATCACCAGTATGGATAAAATAAACACACATATTTATATTTATCTACATATACAAACTAGTTATATGTAAACTGCTTAAAATGTGTAATTCGTAATGGAATGAGGATTATATGGATAACCTTATGTTCAATCCAATAGCTTGTGCCTCTGTCTAAGAGAGGTAAGAATATAACTGAAAGATTTCAAAATAAATTTAAGGTCAAATTAAGCTACTTCAACAATCATCTTCAAGCATGCGTTTATTTTGTTTTCATTACATTTTCCACTGCCAAGTCACTTTTTTGGGGTCTTTTTTTGGCAAACAGAAGATGAGTATAACTGAAAGTTAAAAGCACAGCTTTAGAAAATACATAAAGGCCATGCCATATAGGAAACATCGGGCTCAAAAAAGATTTTAACAGCACCTTAACACAAAGCAGAATTCACCCTAATGACTTCTACTCTACGTATACAATTGTAAAAAACAAAAATGCCTGATATCATTGATAATATTTTCATATTATTCTAACCAAATGTGGCTGTCCCAAAAAGGCAGGACGCAAACAAATTATTTTGACCTTTAGCTATATTAATGGCAGGTGATGGTCCTGCTTCATTTTATACTGACCGGCTGCCTCTGAAACATTGTGCTTCTATGCACCACTCTTCAAGGGAAACAAACTGTGGCATTTCTTTGGTGAAGAAACTCACCAAATAATGTCATTTGAGGACCAACTAAAGGGAGACAGGTAAGTCACGACAACTGAGTTGGAAAAGAAATGTATGTAGACCTCTTCCTGTATGGTTCAGGTGGACAGAATTAGTACAAAAGGGAGAAACTTTCAAGATGATAACCATGCTGAGAGCATACTATGAGCAATGTGCCATATTTGGTATTTTTACATATGCTACATTACTTAACTCTCCCAATGAATTCTTGAAATTGCCATCATTATCGCCATTTCACAGATGAGAAAACCGAGACTTAAAGAACTTAAGTTACTGGCCCAAAGTTACTCACCTAGACCTAGATATGAATCAATTCTGTCTGATTCCCATGGCCATTTTACTATATTATATGGCTTCCTTGGGAAGTCAGACATTAACCCAGCATTAGAAAGAAATTTTGAACAGAATTTCCTGACAGTAAAGTGAATTTGCTTCAGTAGATAGTGAATTTTCCATGCCCCACACAGCTGGATCATAACCGAGCTACTGCTACAGCAGACTTGTACACAGAATGTGTGGTTGGTCTGCATGATTAAGCAACACTGAAATTTGATATATCTATCTCCTCTGAAAACAAATCTAGTTGAAGTTCTCCTAGGGTGACCCGATGATGAGGATTAAAGGAGAAGAAGATACCCACTTCTTCCTTTTGAAAATGATATACTATTTGTATCTTTCTTATCCTGGATAAATTGGATAAAATAGTTGGTCTTCACATCGACAAGGATTAGATTCCATACCTTTCAGTGAAAAAAAAAAAAAAAAGAGAGAAAATTGCTCTGGGCAAGCCAACATTTAATGGTTGTGCTTTTCAAAATTAGGCATTCTGTGCTGTGTCTTCTAGGCCAAAAAAGGATCGGGCCCTTAATATTTAACTGACCCAGGAACCATAGGGTGCCAAATAAACATATATGGAGTCATAAGTTGAGTAAGGAACCAAAAAATAAATAAATAAAGTCAAAGGCTTCATTTTTACTCTTAATCTTAGGTGATTAAAACAATAAGAGCTATTTCAAGAATGGCAAAATTCATTTATTACTAGTCTGTACTTATCTGACAATGGGTAGGGAAAATTGTTTGTCAAACGTCTTATAAAATGTCAAATGTCAAAATGTCAAAGTATCCAATACCCTAATACTTTTCAGGGGAGTAATAACATAGCCCATTCAGGTTTTACACAGTAATTTAATCATAAGACTACCATATTTACTCCAAAGATAGTAAGTACTCTTTTAAGAAGCTTACAAAAAATATTACAGGAATGATGCACAAAGAATTGTATATATTTATACATACTTCAACTGTATCAGTAGCCACATTACTTATAGATAGCAATAAAAATAAACAATGGCCCAGAAAGCATGGAAAATAAATTAAATAAATACCTT